GGTTTCATGGACACTTACCATGGTAATACCATGTTTTTGTGACATTTAGCATGGCATTGCCATGATTTCATAGCTCTCTGGCATGGCCATACTATGTGTTGTGACATTTACCATGGTAATATTGTACCATGGTGTATCTATAGTTTTATGGAAATTTACATGGTAATAACTATGTTTTGTGACATTTATTATGGTGATGGTATAGTTTCATGAGCATTTATCATGATAATACTATGTTTTTATAACATTTACCATGGCATTACCATTGTTTTTATAGACATTTGTCACAGTAATTCTATGTTTTGTGACACCATGCCATTACCATAATTTCGTGGACATTAGCGATAGTATTACTATGTTTTTGTGACGTTTACCATGATATTGTCATGTTTTCATGGACATCTGCCATGGTATTAATATATTTTGTGGCAGTTACCATACCACATTTTTACAATGTTTTTGGCACATGGTAATATTATGCTTTGGACATTTGAAGTATCAAAGGAGTAGTGCTGTCAAACGATTAATCGCGATTAATCGCATCCAAAAGCATCCAAAATAAAAGTTATTGTTTACATAGTATATTTGTGTGTACTGTGTATATTTATTATGTATATATAAATACAAACACATGCATGTACACATTTCAGAAAAAATGTTATGTTCACATATTAAATATATTTTTTATAATATAAAGTATATGAATATAAATATAGACAATGTAAATACATATAAATATTTGCAAAATATATACTGTATGTGTGTGTATTTATATATATATATATAATATACACAGTACACACAAATATACTATGTAAACAATAACTTTTATTTTGGATGCAATTAATCACGATTAATCATTGGACAGCACTACAAAGGAGTAACATGTAAATACCATTATATGTATATCAAAGTACCACAGTATTAACATCTGATGCCATAACTGTACCATGGTACCACCACAGTACTTTTTGGTATACATAATGAAAAAAATCAACTATGCAGTAGCATCACTGTATAATTTTATAATATAAACCATTGCAGTCTTGCAGTCTTGTGAATTTCAGGACTGCTAATACAATGGGTGCTGCTAAAACAAACATGCAGTGAGTGATGGATGATCTGGGATGGAAAAAGTGCATGTTTTGCATTGCATGTGTCTTAAAACATTTGACAAACCGTCCTGTCAGTCTGACTTAATATTTGAAGTAGCAAGTAAGTACATTTGCATGTAATGCCACACATGGATTGCCTCAGCCTCACAGAAGAGAAGTGTGGCTTGACAGCTCTGGAGCTTTAATTGGACGAGGGTTTTATGGGACTGGATGGCGGCTTGTAAGAGATAGAACCGTATTAAATCTATATGTGATGCCAGGGGGAGCATCTTGCTGTTCCAGCCCCTCAGGTAATGAAGCTTGTGTTTTAACTTTGCATAAGAACGCAAACGTTTTGTCATTCCACGGTCAGTCAATTAGCCACGAAACTAATAATGTGCTTCGAAATCGGCTGGCCAGTTTGCTGCAAGCTACTCATATGATGCCAAAACTAGGCGCTTTACCAGGAATGACAAATGATATTGTCCGGTGTCGTGGTGTATAGTGTAAATTGGTACAGCAGTGCTGTTGACAAAAGAGGAATGAGCTTTGTTAAAGCTGAGCATAATTCACTGGGTGGCATGTTTTCGGAAGGGATTGGAAAAGTGCAATACTGCTGCATAAGCAAATGCTGTAAGGTGGCCATTATCCAATAAGATCTCCTGTTTGTTTAGATTGTATGATAACGGGGTGTTGGGAATGACAATCAGAGCAGTCGTGTGTCCTGATTATCAAAGCTTTCTGAGGACGAATAAAACAATCTGGCATGCGTGCCATTTAGGAAATGTCAGCGTGGGTGTTTTTGTAACTTAAAATGTGACATAATGTGGGCTGATTTGTTTAAAATCAAGGCAAGAAATGTGCTTGTTCTGGAATGTCATAGTATATTCAAACAAATTTCCCATGTGAAACCGCAATTCCACGGCTGCCCATGCGACGGTCATCTAGGTCACGCAGGTCGATTTTTGACTACAGGCATAAAGTCTGGTTCACTTTGCAGCTCAATTATAGAAGAGATCAAATTTGTTTTGGCTACCTTGTTTAGCAGCGATTTCCTGTCAATTATCGAAATAGTTGACATCACAATTAAAAAAAAAAAAACGGCAGTTTTTATTGTGGTATCAGAATAAAACCTCAAAGACTATTTACACTTCTGCTGATTTTTTGCGGCGTATAACAGAAGGTTGTACAAAAAACTGAAGAAATTTGTGAAATTATGTATAGTTTTTGTGCTTTCATTCAGTCAATCCAAAAGTAAAACGTAATGCAACTGACTTTTTAACTCACAGAAAATAACGCAAATAGACCACAAATTTCATTTACATTACCAATACCAATATGTTTCACAGTGGTATCCACTATTGTTCGTACAAAAGAAATAAGGTGTGAGTTTTAACATGCAGAAAACTATTCGATCGAACTGCAAGTACATCTACATGTGCAATATTAATCTTTATTTTTTATTGTGGTATCAACTATTGTTCAGAAAAAAAAACAAAAATACTATTCACACTTCCAATATTTTTTTCTAGAGTTTAACGCAAACTGTTATACAGTACAAAAAAAAATTGTGTAGCTGTGTATTGTTTTGTACACTTGTTTTATCCACCCAAAAGTCATGTGTACTGACATTTTAACACACAGAAAACGACACTATTCACAGTTTAACACAAATTGTTGCACAAGAAAATTTAAGAAATTACATTGTTTGGTGCTTTTGTTCTGTCAATCCGAAAGTAATGGGTACTGACTTTTTAACACAGAGTAAGTTACACAAATGTACCGCAAGAATGTTTACATGTGCAGTTATAATGCAGATTTTTTTTTTATTGTAGTATCAACTATTGTTCAGAAGAAAATCTCAAAGACTATTCACATTTACGCTGTTAATTCACTTTTTCTGTTTTATCGCAAACGATTGTACAAAAAAACTCAAGAAATTTGTAACTATCTACAGTTTTTGTGCATTTGAACACAGTTACATTTACATGCGCACTTACAATCAAGCTAAAGTGGGTTCCCTTTCATGGGAACTTCGAACTGCGTCCTCTAGGGGTCGCTATGGGGAACGCCTCGTCGTGACCCGTGTCTGAAGCATACATTGAAAAAACACCAACTCGTTGGCCGGCGACAGCCATGACGTCACTACCGGTGCGACTATAGTATAAATAGGCGCCGGGAGCACACATCATTCTCTTCTTCGTCTTCATTGACTGTTTTGTTTGAAGCGTGCATTTCTGTGGTAAGAGCGATCTCTATTTATCTCATTATGGCGAACACTAGCAAAGCATTTAAGGATGTGTGCATCCGTGTTGACGTTGTTTAACATCTGATGACACACACGATCTATGCGTTGTTTTGTTTGGGCAAAGAGCACGCACGCGATGCCTCCGAGGGGGCAATCGGCGTGCACTGCGAGCGTTTTTTCCAAGGAAAAAAGCTCCGCTCTCGTTTGTCTCTCTTTTCGAG